GATAAGAACGTTCTAGTGGGTGATAAAGTATTATGAAGAACTAAAGTCAGACGATATGTAGAAAACGGTTGGGGGACTGGTCAGGAAAGGTCCCTCTGAATCCTCAAGGACAGGAAGCTGGTTGTATGAGGACTTGGAAAGGGCACTCCAGGCATAGGAAAGAGCTTCTATGAGATGCTGTGCTGGCAATAAGCTTCTCCTGTTAGAAGAAGCTGCCATGGCTGGAGGATGGGGAGCAGGAGGCAGAGCTCTGGCAGAGGAGCTCAGGGGGAGAGGCAGGGATAGGTCTATTGGGCCTCGAGCCCACATAAGGCCTTAGGACTTTATTCCAATAGTGATGGAAATTCATCAGAAGATTTTAAGCATCAGAAAAATATACTCTAATTTACATTTTTAAAAGCTCACTCTTGCTGTTCTGTGGACAATGAATTATAAGTCGCTGAGAGCAAAAGCAAGGAGACGTGTTATGAATATGCATGAGTAATGGAAAATTGAATGAGGCAATAAGTATAATTTCTAAAGAATGTTCAAAGTACTAATCAAACGATAGGTCAATTGCTGCTCATCAAACTGAGGCCAATAATGAGAACACATCTGTTAACAATACAAAAGGTAAAGAGAGCAGGTGAAGTGCTTCCTTGAATTTTAGGTTCCTTGTTAATCAAGCAGTCCGTCAACGTGTACTTCCCTGAGTATTTGCAAAGATGAACAAAAGTGTCTAGGTCAGTACTTGGCTTATAGTAAATGCTCGACGAAATATTAGTCTCTTTCTGTCCTATATGACTCTAAAAAAATCACTTAATATGTACATAGGCTGAGAATTCAGCAAAGCTAAACCTTATGGGTTGAAGTAAAAAATTGAAATTAGAGACCTCATACCTAACGGTCTGATGCTATACCATGATAATTCTACACACTTGCTAGGGATGCAAAGCACACTATAAACACATGCCCCTAATACAGGATATAGTTTGCAGTCCCAGTACCTCGTATTTGTGGCCTTTTAATACAAGCTAAACACTCACAATGAGTGCCATGAAATCCCAGCCTGACCCTTTCTGACCACTTTGTCATAATCCTATTTCCTTTGCCTTAGCTTTTTTCTAAGGTATCTGCTCGCTCTTGTGTCCTGAAATACTTGAATATTTTAATATAATTCTCCCTTTTTTGATGGACAGATTTATTTTCTATCATCTTTAATGAAATTTCCAGAGATAGGATGTAGGTAGTTCTGTGAATGAGATTTATGTTTGCTTCTCTTTTGCACAAGAATCCTTTAGATCAGTGTTGTGTCATTCAAAGCCATTAGAATGATGGTCGTCAGATGGAAATTCAATCAGTTGCATCTAAACTTCCTTGAGACACACAGGCCAATGCAGTTCACATGTTGCTATCTAGTTATTTTCTTTGATTCTACTTATTTATTAATTCATTATAATTGAAAAATTAAAATGGTTAATTGTGAACGTGAAGTATTAAAAGCCAGATGTTAGCTGGGATCCATTAAAGAGCAAAGGGTTCATGCTTCATGTGAATAACAAGATACAACCATTTCCAGAATACTCCTTTTTAAACTGATAAGAACAGATACTACACTTGATCTTACTCAAAAAGCTGAGAAGCGATAGAATACTCCTTTTAAAATATATATCTATTTCCACTGCTTTGTGTATTGTGTTCCAGATACTGCTCAGAACAATAGGTTTTTTGAGTAAACACTTATTTACATCCATACCTGCAAGCTCCAAGATAGCATCCAATTAACATCTTACTTCATGCTTCACTCAGTAGACCCCAAAACAATGGCTGAATTTTTGAATGATAATGAAAATTTACTCCAAGGCTGTGGAAAACATTAGAGTCTGAGAAAGAGACTGCATACTAATCCAAAATCTACCAATAATTTATTTTCTTGCCTGAAATTTTCTTAACCCTGTGGATCTCAAACTCTGTCTTTTATCAGAATGACCTAGAGAAGTTGGTAGATATATACATGCCCAAGCCCCTCCAACTTTAAAAAATCTGATCTTCAATGTCATTTAATAGTATCTCAGGTGATTCTGATACACACCAAATTTGAGAATCACTGACTTAATCTTTTGGGATATTAATCCCTCCAAAAAGAAATGTCCCACCGATGGGAGTTTTGAGGGAACCAAAGGATGTAGACACTGGACATAGTAATAGCAGGAAATTACTGAAAACCATTATTGCCAACCATATGTATGTGGAGGTAGCTGGTAGTTTCCTCCAACAACAGTACATCCAGTAGGTAGAATTTAAGGAGCCTGGTGTAGTAGCTGCGGCATTCCTCCTTGGGAATGGACTAGGAAGTGCATGTGCCCCCCTGTTCTTGAGAGGATAAGAATCAAGAATTCTCCTTAAAGAATTCCCTGTTGAGTTTTCCCATGACCCAACCAGGACTTCTCAGTCTGCATGTTTCCCAGCAGTGCTCCAACCAATAAACCTGCCAATTAAGCAACTGAATATTATTATTGTGAATGTAATTACAGACAGTAATTATGAGCTTGTAAATGCCTCCCGTGAATGGAGCCCTTTTCCCAAACCATGTCAGCTGCTTTTCTTTAGAAAGTGGAAGGCAATCCTATCCCTTGCCTCACCCCAAATATAGCCTCCCCTGCTTAGAAGAAACCTCCTTCTTTCTAGCCCAAGGGACATATTAAGCAAGCTTTAATAGGCTGTGTTTTAAGGGGGAATGTCCCCTTGGAGTGGAGTCCCTTTCACCATCTGTCATCCAAGCAGTGCTTCACTAGGAAGCAGTGACTACCCAGTTTGTATTTCTTAATTTCTGTGAAGGCAGGGGAATTAATACCAAATTTTAAGGATTTCTGCAGAAAAATCAAAAATCAAAGTCTTTACAAAATAGTTTGAGAACTTTAACATTATTTAAATGAAACTTTATAGGATGCAATTTGCTCAAGATTTAGAGTCTCTGAAAATAAAGTAGAAACATGCATAGAAACATGCATGGGCGAGAAGACTTTTCATGTCTACAAAAATAAAATGAATCTCTGTAGGTCCCAAATTAACCCTTGCATTCAGTAGCTTTATATTTAGCTCATAAAAACCTCAAACCTTCATGGATAATAGATATTTGAATGAGTTCTACATAGATATATTTAGCTTGAAATGCAATGCAACCCCCCAAGATCTCAATCTGTTGCTTTCTTTTAATGGATAGTGAGAATAAGTGCCTGTAATTGCACCAGTAGCTGCCCCAGTTGAAAAATTAAAGAACTGAGTCCAGACTTTTCTGATTCACCATACAATAAATAATGCCATATAAACTTTGAGAAGGAACGATTTAACTTACCTGATACAATGCCTAGAACAGCCATTTGCATAGAGTGAATTTTTAGAACTCTTCTCTGAATGAGATCAAATTTTACACCCAAAAGCTAGCATATTATACGATTTTTTGAAGGAGACATATTGCTTACTGGCCAAATTAAGCTATTTCAAGCCACAACATTTCCATTGACTGTGACCAAAAAATCATGTGTTGATTATTACTTTGTTATTGTTGTTGTTCATGGTTTTCTCCTGGAGTAGAAATAGAGTGCACACAGGCATCCGAATTTTCTTATTGTAACATGAAGACCCAGAAGGGTAAATGAAACTTTCAAAAGTGACTGAGAGAAGTTTACACTTTAGAGAAACCATCCTAACCAATATCAACTAAAACATCAGGCAGTTTTAGAGAGGGTGCTTATGAAAACCTAAAACATGTTTAACCCTTCTGTTAAATAATTTAAAATTCATTTTAAATGTTTGAAAGGAAGCTTAAAAATTCCCTGTGATAGTCACAGGTCAGGATGGACTTGTCTCTCTAAGCACCAGGGACATGGGCGTCCATGGTCTTTTGATAATTTCAGCATGAAAGAAAATTCACATGTAAATTAAAGTCTTTCAATCACTGTATATGATCACTTTAAGAGGAGATGTCTATTTATATTAATTTTTTTTCTAATTTTCACAAACAGTAGCCTAAGAATTTCTGCAAATATGGATGACCAGATGGATTATGTTTTTTAATGTGTACAATATGCATACAAATATATATACATATATTAGCTTGCTCATTTTTGCTCTCTATCCCCATGTATACTAAAGATATTCAAGGATATAAAAATTCAACACCAGGAAAGGTTAGTGTGAGAAATTTTCCATTACAGTCCATTTTTCCCATTTTCTAGAAGCCAAATCCTCAAGTCCCTATAAATTGAAGAGATAAAAACAATATAATATACATAATAATTAACCAGCTGGTACCCCAACCAAAGAGCTTTTGGGCTCATCATTCCATCATTAGGGCTGTTAATTTGCTCCACAGCTAAAGCACTATGTGCTTCTCTTCATCTGATCTTATTGTCAATTTGGGACAACACTGAAGCCATTTATAAAACTTCTATTTGATATAAGACCCAGTTTTGTTTTTTTTTTCAGACTACCCAGGGTAGAAGATGGTAAGAACAGAGTTGTCACTCTCAGTGTGGCCACGTGAGCCTGTTCCACTTAAGTAACAGGGTGTCCCTCAGGTCAGCCTGTGATAAAACCCAAGTCAAACAAGGCTGGATCCTGGGTGTTTTATGTCCTAAGGATCTGAAAAGTGTTCATGGCCAGCCCTGACCCTCAAGACCTCAGATGGTCATCTAAGCAGTAACATAAATTGGTGTAAACTTGCTCTCGGACCATTGCTGTGGAAGTGGGATGGGTAAAAGCACGTCCTTGCCGTGGAGGAACTAATGTCTTTCTAGGCACTTAAGGGGGGATATGTTGATTACTCCGGCAGGCAATGCAACTGCTGTGGCTAAATGACCAAGGCTGACAAATTCTGCATCTTATCACTGCCGTCAAGTGGCATGTGAATACTGTCAGCCTGAAAGAATTGAGAAACAACGTGCCTTCCAAAGCTCTGCATCTCAGCAAAACCTTGACAATGCCAACAGCTCGTCATCTCATGTTTTTCCGCCCTCTAGAAAATGGCCTTCCAGCCTGGGACAAACCGAAGCACTGCCCAGACCAAGAGCACGACTGGAAGCTAGTAGGAATGTCTGAAGCCTGCCTACATAGAAAGAGCCATTCAGAGAGGCGCAGCACGCTGAAAAATGAACAGTCACCACATCTCATCCAGGCCACTTGGACTAGCTCGATATTCCATCTGGACCATGACGATGTGAACGATCAGGGTGTCTCAAGTGCCCAGACGTTCCAAACAGAGGAGAAGAAATGTAAAGGTAACCAGATTTGTATCAGACCATTATCACACGTTTCAACAAGGGAAAAAAAATCTCTGTTGTAACTGTGTGCTCAGTCTACATTTCTTCCAGTATATAATGTCCATGTGTTTTCCCCAACTGTTCTGTTCCTCGGCTTCTTTATCTTCAAATCTTTTAAACATAAATAAATGAGATCCAAAGGAAAGCAGTTCACTGCAGTTTCATGTAGTGTTGGCGACGCTTGGGGAGAAGACATTTTTACTTCTCTAATTAGCAGAAGAGTTGTTAGTTTTGGCTTTAATTCTAGTTTTGGATCTGAGTAGAAACAGACATTGCTGTAGTTGTATGAACTAGTTGCTTCGAAGCGCGTGTGTGTGTACATGTCTTTCCCCACGTTTTTGTGTGTGTATTTTCTTTTCCCAGTTGTTCTAGTAGCTAATGGGCTCCATGCCTATCTTTAACCTAAATAGACAATTCATGCTTAAAAGAGAGGTTTTAAGTTGTTGTCTTTTACTCACAAAATAAATCTTGTGTCATCATCCTGAAAGGAGAGATTATGGTGTTAGGAGGTTGTCACCTCATAAGAAAAAAAAAATGTTGAAGTGGCCTAAGTTCCCGACTGCATTAGATTTAACCGTTCTTTACCTCAGGTCGCCTCCACCCTGACAGATGTCTTTGTGCTGATCGCTTTATTGTCTTAGGGCTCCCCCAAATCTTTGCTTCTTAAATCAATGTGCAAGAAGTCAATTTGTGTCTTTAAATGTCCAGGTTTATGTAACTTCCCATTCTTTTCCAATAATTTAACATTCAAAAAAAAACAACAAAAAAAGATCTTTTTGGTTTTTCTTCAAGGATTTTGACTCATGGTAAAATTTTAAATTGTGTATTTGAAAATCTCACAATCATATACCATTATGTAATAATGAAAGTTTGCAAAGACTCCTATATATGAGCCATGAAGGACTCTTACAAACTGTTCTAACTTGAACATAAACACATGATTATATTTATCCTTCCTGCAAAAGAGCTGGTCTTTTAGCTTTTCTGAAAACACTTTGAAAGCTCCTGGGAACTACCAGTTTACCTGGGAAATTGAGTGTTCAGATTGTTTCAGTTGAAAATAGGGTTATCCAAAAAATAATAGTGAAATAGTGGCATGAGCTCTGATTTGAGTACAGTCAAAACTATACATGTTCCCTTTGGAACAATTTGTGTTTCAACTGTCCCTCATATCTTTGATTTAGGAGATTTGAAAAATTGAAGGAGCTATTTAGAAAAAGGGTAAAATAAGGTTTTTTCAAAGGAGTCAGGATGTAGGGTGTGTGTCTGTGTGCACTTGCAAAATTTGTTTGAAATACAATTGACATTTAGTCCTAGCATTTGTGACCAGATGTATCTTGAAATTTTATGGGCTGGCATTAAAATCATGTCAGGTTACAGTGAAATGCCAATGGGAAACTCTAGTATCTCATGATCTAAAAACCTCATAGACTAAATTTGATGCATTCATAATTGGTATCCATATTCATTTATTTATTCATTCATAGAGCCCATCTATATCTCCATCATTTATGAGAAATCTTGGCCTTAGGTACCTAGAGCTCCAACACTACACTTTTCAGTTTGCTGGTGCACCCTGAAAGTGAGAGGAAACAGTCTCTGTTTGTATCCAAGGCCTTAAGTATACAGTACAGTGGTTAACACTGCACATTTTTGAGACTGATATATTTGAGCTACAATCCTAGCCAGCCTTTCTACTTTCTGTCCTTGAGTAAACTTACGTGATTGTTAATACAATTAAATAACATAATGTACCTGACATGGTACTCTCTGAATAGCAGCTATTGCTATTACTGTGATCATTATTATTATTAGCTATGCATCATTAAATCACAATTTAATCAAGTTCCTTGGACCGTACTGTGTGCCTGGTGAGGAGTGAAGGGCTGCATGACAGATGGGTGCGGGTGGAGCATGTGGTTTCAGAGAGGTGAGAGTTGATCATCCGTTTTGCAGTCATTCAGCTCTCTTTCATTGAAAGTCAGCGAATTATTTAATAAGAAAATATAATTAAATTATTTAAGTTCTCCCTCAAGATTTTAAAAGGAAAACAAGTAAGATAAACTCTCCTGTCGTTTCCAGAGTACCCACCAGGGTCCACCTTGACACGGATGTGAGGCAATGCCTGGGTTCAGCATGAAAATGCCACCAGGACACCTACATCGTTATGACCCAAGAATCTTATAAACTAAATTTCACTCATTTGCAGTGGACACCTGTATCTAGTGAGGCACCAGTGAGGCCGGAACAACAACATGGTTAGCCTTTCCTTTACAGAGTTGGTTCTCCATCTGCTCTGCTTGTCAGCTACCTCTGTATAGTCACCAGGAGGAGAGTTCTATTTTGATGTCTGTCCACACTGGGTGTCTATTTCCTGGCTGTCTGTCTAATCCCCATGCATGCTTGATATCTCGGTCCTGGGCTACAGTTCCATGCATTCACCCACCAGTGTTTACTGAGTGCCCACTGTGTACAGGATGTAGTCCTTGATGTCCAAGCATAGAGAGATGGCAGCAAGGCCAAAAGGACATCCAACTTGCCCTATTCCAAGGATCCCAAGTGGAAATGATAAGAACCAAATAGCCCTAAGGATATAAAAAGTTAAATCTGTAGGAAAGGATCCACAAGACAAACTGACTGCTTGAAGTTGTGCAATAAACCCATCTCCCAAACCAGTCGTCTGGCCAGGCTAGACCAGTGCACCTCTAAGTGTGGTTTGTGGACTGGTTTCCGGACTGTGGACTTCCGCAGAATGTGTATTACCACTTCTATTGATGCAAGTACAAAAATTGAGAGTAAGCTTTAGAAACTTTCATAGCAATTTCACATTGCCAGTGACATACAAGTGCATGATCCATGGATTCATCTTGCTGAAAAGGATATAGACCATTTGGGTGTTGTCAAACTTGCCTGGTCAGTTATATGTGCCTTAGTATGTAAAAGTTTTTTTTTTTTTTTTAATTAAAAAAAATGTTTTAGAGGTGGGGTCTCCCTATGTTGCCCAGGCTGGTCTCAAACTCCTAACATCAAGTGATCATGTCAGCTTCCTGAGTAGCTGGGACTCATGGTGTGAGCCACCATGCCTGCCTTGCTATATAAAAGTCTTACGCAGTAGAACCATGTGATAGTCCATTATGAACCAGATTTTTTGAAAATAGTCTTTTACATCAAATAGTCTGAGAATCACTGATTTATGTTTATAGTACTTTTAAATGTTTTTTTTTTCCTTTAGGGCTTATTTTTGGAACATATTTTATTTTTCATTTTGGTCTGATACTGCTTTTATTTTAATCTGCATATACCTACACTCTTATCTGCTGCAGTCATCCTCAGTAAATTAATCGGTAACACATTTAACTAGAATGAGAATTCTGGAGCCCTTACACTCTGTTGCAGAGCCCACAACTCAAATCTGCTCTAGTGTCAGAGCCTATTTTAACCAGCAGTGAGTGACCCGTTCCCCTCCACTACCCACCCTTACCTTCCCAGCCCTATCCTTCTATCATCACGTTACACTTCCTTGGAGTCTTTATTGCAATTTGAACTGATTGCTCAGTTCAGTTCTCAGTTCTCTGAGGACCACATCCTGCCCCTGTCTGCCTCCTCCCTCCCCAGAGTCTGAGATAATATGTTTGGTGCTACTCAAAGTGTGGTCCACCAGCCAGCAGCACTAGCAGAACCTGGAACTTGGTAGAAATGAGAATCTCAGGCTCCACCCAGACTACTGAATTGGAAGCTCTGGAGAGGGGCCCAGGAATGCACGTTTTAACCAGCCTTACCGGTGATTCTTACTATTATTACCTGAGTATCAAGTGCTTGAGAATACTCTTAAGCGCTTAGTACAGGAAAGGGTCTGCCACCTAGTGGGCACTCGGGGAATATGCATTTTTCTTTCCTTCCTCCACTGCACCTGCAGAGCCGCTTGAGTCCCTTCATTCCTAATCGGGCCTTTCCTTCAGGCCTGGTTTACCGTCATTGCCAACAGGATAGTCTGCTTAATCACTCTGCCTGGTAACACATCCCACTGGGACTTGAGCCCTTCTGAGAATTCCACACTGTGTGACTGCGGCACTGACTGTCCCCTAAGTTCTTACAAGGCTTCTCCCCATTGCCCTCTCACGCCCTCCTGAACTTCTCCCCAAGAACCGCAGGGTCCCACCAGTCCCACAAAGACTGTCCTAAACAGACACACGGCTCGGTGGATCTGGACCTAACCAGCCTCGCTGAACCCAGTCAGCCCTCCATACTTTGGTGTTGCCCTTGACGTCAACCAGGGACCTTTCTGAAACACTGAAACCTGGTGGAAGAAACAGGCAGGGGCCAACCCACCTGGTGCAATCAGAAAAAGGAGAGCAGCGATCTAGTGAACTCACTGAAATTTCTCTGTGCTTAATATAAAAAAAAAAAGAAATGAAGCCTCAGATACCCAGGAAGGCAAAAAAAAAAAAAAAAAATAGTCAAAATAATTTTAAGTTATTTTCTCTCATTATAGATGTCCTGTATGTTCATTATAGAAAAAAATGAAATTTCTATCATTTTTAAAAATTATAAATAATTTTTAACTCATTATAAATATTTTTTAAAAATCACTTGAAATGCCACCCCCAAAGACAAACGCTATCAATTTTTATTATATTTCAGCTTTTTTCTGTGCATATCTATTTTTTACAAACTTGGGATCACAGTAGGCATACCATTTTTGACCACCTTTTAGTGCTTAACAACATATCATGGACATTTTCCCATGTCATTAAATATTCTTCTGAATCCTTATTTTTGTTGGCTATAGATTCTTCTTATTTATAGATGTGCCATAATTTATTAAGCCAGCCCCCAAGATTTAGACAAGTTAAAGTAATTTTTCAAACAATATCTTATGTCAGCAAAGGGAAGACTATTAACTCATGCTCTTCATAAAGTCAAAAAAAAAAGAACCGAATCAATGATAACTTTAAATG